TTAAAAAGATAGAAATGGCGAAATGATTATATATTAGCATATAATAGAAACATACCACTACTCTAGAGTGACTATGTATAGCTACCACACTCACATATTCTGTACGTTGTTCAATAGGCTGGAAGATTTTTTGAACAACTCCTTTATAATGAGTGGTGGGAAGGGGTTGTAGCTAGTTGCTGAAGTGATGGACTGAAATACAATGGCAATACAGGTAGCATGCTACTTTCTTCCAGAGATGCAATGTCCATTGCGTAGATTTCTTGGAAGTGGCTAAACTGTTTATGATCTGGTGATTGCAGTGCGTGTTTGAGCTGTTGGCAGTGTTTTGAGGTGTTGGTAGTTTTGTGACATAATAATACACTAGAATACAGATACCGGGACTGGATACAAAAGTGGGATGAATTTTGGCAACATAAAAGGGGTGAAGCAAAACAAGAAGTGCAAACGGCAGAGGAAGAGTGAAGAAAATGCAATAGTGCAATACAAGGCAAGGCAAGGCAAAGCAAAGTTTTGATATGGGTCGCAACTTAAAAAGGGGTGAAAGAAAAGACGTGCAAAATGCAGACAGCAATGAAAAATTGCAAAGCAAAGCTATAATATTGATTACATTACAATAAGAATTGACTTGAGGTGGTGATATAAGTTTTTTGTGATATGAGTTGCTGAAACATAATTTGCAGTATTGGCAATTTTGCGGTGTTTGCGGTGTTGGCAGTTTTGTGACATATTACTACAGCACTGTCAGTGTCAGCTAATTACTGGAATTTGTGGTATTGTTGTTTAAACAGTAAACATTGTTGTGGATTAATCATCTAAGTCATTGCACTTTTGTTTCTACTGTTGTCAGCTCTGCTTACATGTTGGCATATCTTCAGCAGGCCATACACGTGGGAACCTTGTTGTTTCAACCAAAGTTGCAGCAACCTACCAAGCATTGGTATGGAGGGGCCAGGCAACTAGTTACCGGAAATAGAGTAGCCCGGCCCCTTCATACCAATACTGTTGCAACTTGTGGTTGAAGCAACGAAGTTGCCGCATGTATGGCCTGCTTTAGAATGAAATACTGCAATAGACTGTGTCATGATCTGAATAGTATGTATCTTTGATGTTAACAACAGTAGTGTCATGTGAATTGTGATGTTTATAGTACATATGGTCTATAAGTGTGCCTTGGGGTGTTGTTGGTATATACTTGCACTAGCTGTCTGTAACCGAAATTGGACATAAGCTTAAGAATGGCTGAGTTTGTCTGGTGTAAAATATCTTCATTAAAATCTCCAACTACTACACAAGGCGAGTTACAGAGTGAGAGATGTGTCAACAATCTTGACAGTATAGGGATCAACACGGCCTGTGGTACACTAGGTGATCTGTATACTGCTGCTATTTGCATACTGTCTCCGTTAGGAACCTGTAATGTGGCTGATACTGCCTCAATACCATTTGTTGCAAACCTATGTTCATTGGATGGATTCATTTGCCTAGGGACACATATCAACACTCCACCTTTGTTGTCACATGTAACTCTATCACATCTGATGTCAATCTGGTCATCTAGTAACACAGGGGAAGGCTGAGATGCATTTAGCCAAGTCTCACAGAAGCACAATACACTAGCTGATCTGAGACTCTTGTCAGCTCTAATGTCAGGCAATTTTGTAAGTATGGACCTCACATTCAACAATGCTATTGTAACATCGGAAGATGAATCGCGTGACACCTCAGGCACTGGTTGCAGTAGGTTGGTACTTAGCCTAACCATCTCATTTTCCACATCTGAGCTTTTCTTGATTGCTTTGGCATTGAAATTGAGTATATGCAATCCATTAAGTGTTCTTACACGACTAAATGCAACATAGGCTTGTCCAGGGCTGAATCTGCCACCTTTCATATCAACAACTATTTCATCAAGTGTCAGACCTTGTACCTTGTGTATGGTGGTAGCCCATGCTAATGTCAGTGGGAACTGTAAACGCTTGATTTCAGATCCTCGTTTTCCCCTGGCAAAAAAAACTACTTCATGTTTTGTCAAAGGCACAGCATGTGGAAATCTAGACCGATGTGAGCTGGTTTGAATTGATTTAAGGCCGACTGTGCTATTATCAAACTTCACAAGCACACTAATATAACATCATTGTTATTGTTGGTAACTACATGGATCACTTCACCTCTAGCACCATTCACTAGACCATCTGACACATCAACATTAGCTGTTAGCATCACACGGGCACCAATAGCTAGTTTCAGTGTACCATGAAGACCGCCTGTTTCAGATCTTTTGTCAGACAGACTAGCAAGGGATATATGACTGGTTTGACCAGCTACAGAATCAATGGCTTTGATTACAAACTGTGCACTCTGTGGAGCCAGGTTATTCAACATAAGGGTGTTTCGTGTGTCAACATCTGCATTTATCCTAACAGTAAAGCGTGGGTTGGATAATTGACTACATCTGGTGCTATTTCACGAGATTTTAGAGTTCTAATATCGGCAGATGTGCAACTGTTGGTTCTACTCTGCACAATAGCTCTGAGAATGCAAGGTCACCTCTTTGCCTCATTACCTCAGTTAGTTCAAGCATCAGGAAATGGTCAACCCACAATGAACCTGAGCCATACAACTGAGCATAACAGTCACTCTCTGTGCTAAACAGTGGAGATTGGCCAACTGGTGGTAACTGATACAAGTCTCCCACAGCTAATATACTCACACCGCCAAACACCTTATCATCTGACACACCTTTTATCTGCTGCAGTATTTTGTGGATTTCTAGCAACAAATTGGAACCAACCATGCTTACTTCGTCAATGATTATGTGAAAAACCACGTTGGTGTGCCAAGCTGACGTATCATGGCTAGTAGGTCATAAAATGTACGCTGGTAATATGGCGGGGAACCACGAATGTTTTTCATAAAGGAATAAGCTTTGTCTTTACGTACGTACTGGCTGAACACAGTCTGATCTCTAGCTTGTGCAGCAGTAAACTGTCTAGAGGGCTTTTGTCTCCAGGCAAAGTTATTACCATCATCTAACACTTGTTTGGCTTCCACAATATACTGGGCAACAAACAGGTAATCAAGGTCTCTAGCAAATCTGCCATCAACATCCAACAGTCTCTGATTGAAATATTTTCTGTAGGTTAGCTTTTTAGGCCTTTCACTGCTAAATGTGCCTTTAGCAAAGGGGAACTTTTCAGGATTAGACATGGCTTCAAAGTTAGAGTCTGTCATGATATTGAGTGGTTTCTCTCCCTCAGCTGGTGCTACACAAATGATTTCTCTAGAACTCTCAGGATTTTCAACATACATCATGGTGGCCATAGGGGCACCACTGATTTGCCTTCTATGCTCATCTCCCTCTTCAATTGTTGCATCGTCTATACTTTCATCAGCTACTGGGGGATTGGTATTGGCTTGTTCTGACACAATAGGACTATTTTGCTCAACACTGTAACCACAAACAGGGAGTTTGTCTAAACCAACATAATGGTACTGCAAGATAAGGCCCACAAAAATCTCACACTCAGCAAGGCAGCTGCCAGGGGTGACTGAAAACATGGGATGATTGCTAGATAAAACACTGATTTTGACACTGGGCATATCAGCAATTGCCTGCATAGTTATGTGGTCACCCCAGGCTCCCTGTCTTAGACATCTCACATATTTCTGCCATCTAAGTTCAGTTTGCAATTGAGGGTCAGCTACACTGTCTATGAACTCATCTTCAGCAGTAGGCTGCTCTGTGTCTGCATTACAGTCATCATCCTCAGAGGGCACAGGTTGGCACAGGAAATCACGATACAAAGCTGCATTTGCTTCTAAATGGTCTACTACCATTTGTCTCAGTTGATTGCTGTTAGCACTGCATACACCATTAGCCTGTAGCTGATACGAGACAGAGCTGAACATACAGTCACCATCGTATAGTACATCATGAATGGTAAAACTGTTCTGATGGGCTAATGCTTTTAGCTGTTGTAAGGCTGTGGAAAACTCATTGCTATCATCAGAAATGCTCATTGGTTCACTTTCCACATTCACAGCTACATTTGCAGGACCATTGCTTTCATGCTTCTCACGTTCAGTACCCACATTCTCGTCATCTTGCTCAACTAAATACTGGCAAAGCTCTTCATCGTTAGCCATCGCTTCTTCCACCCATTGTTCGTTAACATCAATGTCAGCATACAGGGGGTTGTTGGCTTTCAGATATCTCAATGCATCGAGGAGTTTCTGAGGGTCTTATGTAATCATACAGGTAGTGGCCTCGGTATGCAACTTTACGTTTCAGTTTCAATGGAACTAGCTCAGACTGAGAAGGCAAACGTGGCAACACATCACAAATGGTATCAACTTTTGATGGTACATTCACTGCTGGACCATGGATTGACCTTTGTTTACCAGATGGCAATGCTACCATTTTCATGAAAGGCACATGCAAGGAAATCAATCTCAATTCCAATGCATTTAGGCCGGACAGTTCAGGGGGCATCTCAGCTAACTGTAACCCATTTGCTTTTGATTGTAGTGGCATGGAATTTCTCACTAATGCTCGATCACAAGTTTTACATATCCACTGTTTCCCATCATTGCTGATATACCTGATATTAACACTGAACACCTCTTGAAGCACAACAGGACTGGTTTTGGTATATTTTGATTTGTTACACTGAATAACACTTTTTCTGTACATCATGCGGTGACAGCATGTACACACAAAGTCAGGCCCTCCTTTAGTTTCAGAACGGAATGCAGAAATGGCATGCTCTATTGATGTTTCAGAGGCTCTCTTGCGGGTTTTACACACTTTATCCGTCTCTTGCCTGTTCAAAGTTTGCTCAGGTGTTTCAGAGGCTCTCTTGCGGTTTTACGCACTTTATCCGTCTCTTGCCTGTTCAAAGTTTGCTCAGATGTTTCAGAGGCTCTCTTGCGGTTTTACGCACTTTATCCGTCTCTTGCCTATTCAAGGTGTTTCAGAAGCTTTTTTGTGGGTCTTACGCACTTTATCCGTCTCTTGCCTCTTCATACTTTGCTCAGGTGTTTCAGAGGCTCTCTTGCGGTTTTACGCACTTTATCCGTCTCTTGCCTGTTCAATGTTTGCTCAGATGTTTCAGAGGCTCTCTTGCGAGTTTTACGCACTTTATTCGTCTCTTGCCTGCTCAAAGTTTGCTCAGGTGTTTCAGAGGCTCTCACATTCGCTTTTTGCATTCTACTGTGCTTCATTGCTTGAGATATATTGCCAGATTGCGCTTTACGCTTAGATGGGAAGGCATGGCCGCATCCACAAACTGCTCGCCTAACGTGAACTGCTGTGCTACATTGCGGACATACCTTGCTCAATTTGTTGTCCATCGAGAACAGAGATCAACAATGACTGAGGAGAGAAACTCAGAACCGCTTGACCGTCCAAGGTCAACTAAAATAACCACTAGCGGATGCGCATGCTCCGGCAAACGACATAAGCGCGTGCGATGGATCGCTCGCGTCTGATGCTCCGGCAAAACGATACACCCACATACGCGCGTGCGCGATGAATCGCTCGCGTAATTAAGCTTTTTCGCTTGTTTTCACGCCATATCTCTGGAACGCAGTCGTTTCAGGGAAATCGCCACATTAATATCAATCTCCTCGTTGTTCACAACCTGTTGGTGCCCCTCATTGGCCGCCTCGTAGCCTGTAGTGTGAGAACTCGCGCGGACAGACAGACAGACAGACAGACCAAGTACAGTAACCCTCGCTGCGCATGCGCGCCGAGGGTTAATAAAGCTTCTTGAGCTCTAAGAGTATTGCTAGGCTTGTCTCAGTTTATAATGATTAGGACTGAAATGAAAGCATAAAACTATCCGATAAGTTAACTTGATCTAATGTGCACATCCTATCCATTTCCATTGCGGTAATATTTTACAAGAAAGAGACACCCATCACAAAATAATTCCAGCATTGTAGTAACTCTAAAATGCTGTAATTATTTAAACCAGAAGACAAATGTTCTTATACATAAGAATGACACATGATCAAGGGTGCAAACATTATGTAGTCATTGATAATATGTGTAGCTAAGAACCTTACAAGCCTGAGCTAATAGGGCTAAGAATACTTACAAAATACTATGGCCAGCTGAACAGCTATATATTATACTCAGAGCATAATTATTACGACTAACTAACTATATATAATGGTTACAAAGTATGGTTGCACTCTCATAATAATATTATGTGTTTGTCATGTGTGTGTGTTTTTGGTTTTTGGTTTTTCTTTGTTTATGTGTGTGCAATTCCACTGTTATCTTTATCTTGTACCAGCATATGTGGTTTGTTGTGGGCACTGCCAACACCTAACACATCATGCCATATGCTGTTAGCTGTCCAGCTAGCTACTCATGTGTCCCCATCTAACCACTGCTGTATATACAGATTTTTTTACTGATGCAGCCATGCAAAGGACATTTCACAAGTTTGGAGAGAGTGAAGTAGTCAGACCAAGTGTACAAAATTTAGATACGTTGGTTGTATTTATACGCATCATTATTCACACGCATAAAGTGACATTGAGCCTGAATTTTCTATATTATACATCAAGTGCCAATTTAATCTCTATAGTAACGCAAATTTCCGAGTAGGACGAAGATTTCGAATGTTTTCGTTTGACTCATACGATGCGGAAGCAGCGAAGGAAATCTCACCACAGACAGACGGACAGACAGACAGACAGAACGACTACTGTAACCCTCGCTGCGCATGCGCGCCGAGGGTTAACGAGTAACAGACACAGACAGACAGACAGACAGACACACAAACCCAACTACCGTAACCCTCACTGCGCATGCGCGCCGAGGGTTAATAATTAAAAATCAGCAGTGATATGCAGCAAAAGCGGTTGTGAATAATTATACAGTTTGCTACAGGGTTCGTTCCTATAAGCCTTCTATTTACGTACAAAATTGCTGTATGTATCAAATGATTCCAGATACACCAACACTGCCTCAAACAACAGGCGGTACTGAGCCTGTAAGAGAGAAATGCAGTGGGCAATAGAAGAAACTGTGGTTAAACATATAGGCATGTCCAAGCTCAATGCAAGACATTTTTATATGCTCATACTTGCAAAATGTTTGAGAACAGTTTAGATAACCCACCACAGTGAGGACAGCTCCAGGTTTGTGTACCCTGAGAGCCTTGACCACCTGGAACACATCCACCACTCCCTCTGTCTTACACCTCTCAATGGTGGTGACTATGGCACAGAACATCCCAGACCTACCCACTGTGTCACTGCAGAAGAAATTGTTGCCTGTGTCAGCCTGTCATTCATATCACAGAAAGCCTATATACAGGTGTCACCATGTCGTTTAAACTTAATGCTCATACACTGATACCAAACCATCTATAGTTAGCCTACACGAATGAATGCTCACACCTGCAATGAACTATAATTGGTTGATTCCCAGTCTTCATTTGAATATCCGTTATCTCACGTATCACACTAGTGATTGTGGGGAGGTTTGAGCAGCTTCCATCAGGACTCCAGTTTACCATGTGTAGTTGGACAACCTGATGAGCATCAGCAGTCTGTTGCACCGCAAATAATAGCAGTTGTGTTAAAAGTATTAAGATGGTTCACGTCTACCTTAATGTTGTAAACAGCGATTTTACGGAGGAGGAATCCCTTAACTGCCTTTTCCTCTAGCAGATCAACTGTATACTCTCCAAACTGAGCTACTCCTGTCTTAGACCAGTATTGATAACACGTCTCCTACAACGACACCAACTTCCTATAGCGTTACGAAAAACCACACAAATGTTCACCTCTCCGTCTTCTACCAAGTCACAGAGCATAACAATGACTCCACACTTCCTTTCATGGACCATCTTCCAGAAATCTCTGGCTGTGGACTCCATGGGACTCTGAGCTATGATGAATGCTCTCTGTTGCTTGTAACCCTGTACATTGAGATACAGGACTTTAGCTACTATACACTATTCCAACACCAGTGAAAAAACATGCTAGTCTTTACATTAACAAAAACAGCATGAATGTAATCCACTTTATCTCCCCTCAATACAACACGCCACTGATCACCTGCAGAGAGATAATAAGCAAGATTGAATATCCTTCATTCTCTGTGTATCAGTACCAGGAAGATAGCGATCATTGCGATTCTTGGAAGGATTATTAAGAGCCACTTTCTGTGATACTTCCATTGGTGTAGGGGATAATTTGTCAAGAACCTGTAGTGAAAAGTTTATTTTGCATTGCATAATTGTCGGACTTTTCATTCAACAAAGGCGTGCATAATGTCATTTGTAGCTACTCTTGGACTTTACTCACACAGTCAGACTTATGTGTAGAAACGAACAGTCTAAGGAGCCAACGACAAGCATATATTTTGGTAGCTACACCCATATAGCCATAAAGGGTCAATAGCTACTGCCTGTGGGGTATTAGATAATCTGTTGAGAATAATGGTCACAATGAACCCCCACTGTGAAATACGACAGCGCAAGGCAAGAGCTTGTTTGATTCACCGTTCCTGAGGGAAAAACCTACAATGAGGCCCTACTTCAACAGCAAATGTACTCCTACAGTAATGCCTGTACACAGACAAGAAGTAAATAGCCGGTGACCACCACTGGCTCCTTACATTGAACTGGTTATCAAATTCATTTGGGTGAGCATTTGGTGAACTTTTGTACTTCCTTAGTTTCTGGATATAATCTCCAGCATCAATCTGTGTATCTCCACACATAATAACTTCCAGAATGGCATCATGGATAAAGACATACTGGTCCTGCAAACGTGTTATACTAAAGACAGCAGTTAAAAATCTGGTTTTCTTACCAGGCTCTGGACCATTTTCATTCTCTGTGTGCGGAGGTGGATGATGACACCAGCTATATCCACCACCTTCTCCTCTTGCAGCTGCTCAAGAACACAATCAATAGTTATCAGAGTCCCTGTCCTCCCAACACCAGCACTGTTTGAATAGGCAACGGAATCATTTAAGCTTATACCATGCAAATTGTTGTACCTGCAATGGACAGTAATTGGTCCCATTCCTCCCTTGTGATGTTTCTTCACCTTCTTGTGGAAGGCCAGAAGTGAAGTGGCATAGTCAGGCACTCCATGGTCAGGCCAGGCTGTGAAGTGGAACTGAGTCACACTGAGAATTTAACAGGCAGATGACTGACTGGACTGCAGGCTCTCAGGTGGTCCCATTGGACTGAGATGACGGTTGAACTAACTGCTTCAGCTGTGACATTTACTGATAGGTCTGATTCACCTGAATCAAAAAACAAACACATAAAAAGTATTAGCAATAAGCTTGAATTCACCTAATTCGAGTGCAAATGTTTCTGATATTCCAGAGAAGGTCTCTGAAGCAGCTTCAACTGAAAATGTATAGTTAGAACATCGAGATAGGTTTGTGATACTTTGACTAGTGCAGGTTGGATCAGGTACACTCCTGGCATTGTTAACAACTCCGTCACTGTAGTGTACTACATATCCAGTCACTGTGGCTCCTCCTGATGGCTGACTCCACTCCACTATCATGGATGTAGCTGATGTCTGTACTACTAACAGTAGAGTTGGACCCCCAGCAACTGAGAAATCACACTGTGTAACCCGTTATTATCACTAATATACCAGACATACCTATCAATGAAATAACTTCTGAAGCATTGGACACTCCGTTAGATGCAAAACACACATACATATCTCCATGAGCTCCACTTTTCCAGTTCGCTTCTGCTGAAAAACTGTCATTACCCACTCCCATTGTCACTGATGTTGACAATGTTAGTCATGTTCTCCACAACACCAGATGGTCCAGTGACAGACATTGTCAGTGGTCTACCCCCAGTTGAAGTACAAATCACTCTGAACATCTTACTACCTTTTTCCAACATTTGAATACTCCCACTAATGGAAGAGACTAAAAAACCAGAGAATAAGTAAGCCCATAAGTGCTGGAACAGATAGTTATGCAAAAAGCATTTTTTTGGCGAGTAAAGGGGTCAACAGTTGTACAAGAAGATGTTTCACATGTGCATTGAATTAAAAAAGTGCCATTGCAACTACTGTTTAGACAAGTAGGTGGCACACTAGTACGACTACAAATAGTGAATTGGGCCTATCTATGAAAGTAACTTGGGTTATTAACCTTCTGTGCGCATGCGCAGCGAGGGTTACGGTACTTGGTGTGTCGTCTGTCTGTCCGTCCGTCTGTTTGTCCACGCGAGTTCTCGCACTACAGGCTACGAGGCGGCCAATGAGTGGCACCAACGGGTTGTGAACAACGAGAAGATGGATATTTATGTGGCGATTTTCCTGAAACGACTGCGTTCCAGAGATATGGCGTGAAAACAGCCAACGTGCTGTCGATCGCGCACGCGCCCTCTCCTGCAGGCTATAGCGCGCACGCGTCATGTCAATTTTTCGCCGGATCATTCGCTACGCCATGTGGTTGTACGATCCACGGGCTTCTGTCAGTTTTGATCTCTGTTCTCAATGGATAAACATGCTGAGCAAGGTAGCTATGTCCGCAATGTAGCATAATAGTTCAGGTGAGGCAAGCAGTGCGGTTAGATTGAATAGAGCAAATATGAGAGCTTCTGAAACACCTGAGCAATTGCTCTAACCGCTAATGCAACTACCCTGTGTTACGGCGAGTGGCTCCGTCGATGACGCATGGCCCAGCATACAGCAACGCTACAACACACGCGTTTAGCGCCGAGGGGTTGCACTTTAGTGCTTTTCATGAGTACAGTTGAACATTAGTTAACTTGGTTATTATCAAGGTTTGCAGGCGTGCAACTTTCTACAGTACATTGGTCTCAATTTAAAGGTTCTGTACCCCCTGTGAAAATGCACATAAACACCATAAACAACGGGTGGTTATAATAGCAAATGCCACCATTCACACATCTTTGTCCCTCGCTAAAGGGGTAATTACAGTACTGTCTGTCTGTCTGTCCACCATGCTTAATCTGAAACCTCAGCCGATTATAACATAATTATATAGATGAAAGGCACTGAAGTGCAAACCCTCGGCGCAGTGATAATAGTGAACACACACGCACAATTATGTAAAGTAATGGGTGGGGCAATGGTATCACCAGGTCTGGTAGAATTGTTGTAGTACTTACTGGTGCTGTATTTAGGTTCATAGATAAGATTATTCTTTCCTCCCAAGCCTAACCTAGTGAGCTACAACAAAGGCCTTAGTTGGAGGCATACTTACTGAACTCAACCGTCTTCTCAGAGAAATGAGGGGGGAAATGGCTGCTGGCCACGTGGTCCCAATCAGCGTGCGCCGCTTTGGCCGCCTGCCGCCTCGGAGTCGCGTGCGTTTTGGTGTAAACGCACATGCGCGTTGTTAAAATGGCCGCCCTTGCCGTATATACCGTACGAACAGGAAACGCTCTAGCTTTGCAACGAAGCAGTTTCAGAGAAAATCCCACATAATTTCTGACCTCCGTCGGCCGCTGGGTATGTAAACCCGTTTTGGACGCGATCTATGACTGGAGAAGTGAGTTCTCACTTAACTCACAGAATGACACACACGACAACTACAGTAACCCTCGCTGCGCATGCGCGCCGAGGGTTAATAAGGAAAATATGCAAGGAAATTTAAACAAAAAGCCCTTTCTCTAAAACTATTAGAGTGAACTTTGTTTTACCACGTCTGTGTCTGGCAATGTTTTTTTTTATATGCACAGAGATGCCAAGATAATCAGTATTAAGTCAACTATCTTACATACTAAGTCTAAGTGTGCATGCATTAAAACTCAGCACAACTCGATGTGCAGTACAAAAGAAGCCAGGCCTATCTGTCAGTTGCTAAGAGGTGATGATTCATGCAACCCTTGGCTTGTTGTAAATAGGTTGTTCAGTTCCGTACCTGGGCATAGAAAATCCATTCATTTTGGCAGCACTGCACACATTTGTGTTATCTAGCATCTGAATCGCGTGATTTTACCATCGTAGGATGTTCTCCTCATCCTAAATACCTGTAAATCAACCAAAAGTTCACACATGGGTTCCTTCACTAAAATGTGAGGCATTCGTTCTCTTTGTAGTATATACAAAACTAGTCCTAAAATCGAGGCAGACAATGTCCAGAATTTTGCAGGGGTTCAAATCCTGCCAGTCTTGACAACGTAGCATTTGCATGCTCAATGGGGAGATTGGATTAGGCATGCAAGGTACTGCCACTCTCATACAATGTACATAGGATATTGTTTTGTTATGCAAACTCACTGGGGTGATGGATCTGAATTGAGATACTATTGCGACCAGTATCACAAAAGAAAAATCCCTCAATCTGAACATAGTTCATGTCTCTCAATAGTTTAAGTTGTTGATATTAGGATGAATCTGTTTGCTCACAACTATACCATCCAAAATACCTACTGTCATTTTTTGGGGATGCTATTCTTTCTACGAAATCGACGGTCGTCATACTGATGATACCAATTTATGGTATTTGAAACTGTAGCACCACGATACCAACAGATGACCTGGTTAATATCGGTGATTATAATATTATGTTCAGCTTGAATAATAGCATCTTTTTCATCAGATGATGTCAGAAACAGTTCTGGATAATTATCAAAAGTCATTGCATTATAAGACCGCAAAAATGCAGCTGTGCGTGTTATATATAGTAGCCAGTGACATAATTGTCCCTGGTGTGCAATGGGACATTAGCTCTCCAGATATTTTTCAGCTGGATTGCCTGACTGTCACGAATCATTAGGGACTAATTGATATTACTTTTTGTACTTCTGATTATAACTTGCACAATTTATTCATACATAAAGCTTCTTGAGCTATAGAGTATTGCATAAGCTGTCCCAGTTTATAACATGAAAGGCATCACAATAATTCCAGCATCATGTGTTAGCAACTCTGAAATGCGTAATATTTTCAACCAGAAGACAGCTTTGAATGTGCTGACTCATGCATGGTCGGGGTTCCGAAAACAAAACGGCAAATATGTGTAGTCATTGGTAATATGTGTATAGCTAAGAACCACACAAGCCCGAGCTAATAGGGCAGAATACTTTACAAAACTATGGCAAGCTGAACAGCTACACCGCGTTAATCAGAGGCGCTATGACATACATGCCAACCATGCGCGGTTGGCGTTCAATGGTATATTTCTATGAACTATATCATAGTAGACGCTTATTCGAGAGCCCCGGCATTGTGGCGCCCCGACCGCAGCGAGGGCGCTACCCCCGGGGCACGTGGCTTTCTACTGGCGCGCGTGTAGTTACGGAGGAGCAGCGTCTAACTATTTTAGTGTGAGCGCTTCACGTTGGGCGCTCGGGCTTTCCTGTTCGTTCGTATGGCGGAGCGCTTCTAACGATGACTCGATGGAGACTGGCTCAGAGCGCCAGAAAATGCAGCGCAAGGGCGAAGCGGCAGAAAAGACGCGCGGTAATGACTCCGCCTTATTTCCCTGCGCCCATGGTCTGCGCGTGTGCGTGGACGACGCGTCAATGTAGATTCGGTTTGTTGATCTTGTTGTTTACATGTACATTTTTTTAAATGTTTTCCGGTTTTATCTGTAGGTTTACCACATGTAGTAAACCCCGTTGAGGTTTACTACGGGAAATAGTAAACCTCGGCTTTGCAATCTGAGTGGAGTGAACAGGTAGTTGCTTGCTTGCAGCGCTTCGAAGTTCGCAACTGTCTTTCGCCATATTCCTCCTTCCGCCATTCGGCAGACACGAACCAGCTGTACTTTACTGTCGATCTCGCGTACACGCGTGGCTCCCCCCTTCCCGAGTGATTGGTGTCGGCCAGCTTCGCGAGAGCAGCCCCTCCGCACGTCCAGAGGAACGCATCTGCGTTGTGTGCGCGTATGCGTCGTACTCTACATAGGTGTGCAGATTGAATGCTCGCTTATACCGGGAAAAACGAGGGATTCCAACGCCAGCTGGCGGGACGTCAAGTTAGGTTGTAATATCGGGACTGTCCCGACCAGATCGGGACGGTTGGCAGGTATGCTATTACATCTAACTAACTATGATACCTACAGCATATGGTTGCTTTTAATGCACTCTCACGTGTTATTGTCAGGTGTGTGTATTTTTGGTTTTTCATTGTTTATGTGTGGGCAATTCCACTGTTATCTTCATCTTGTTGTACCAGCATATGTGGTTTCTTGTTGGCACTACCAACACCTAATGTGTGTGTATGTTAGCTGACTATAAGACTATCCGAAACGTTAACTTGAAATGTAATTTGCACAAAAATTATTCCCTGTCCATTTTCTTTGGTGTAATAATTATTATTACAAGAAAGAGATAAAATTCCAGCATCATGACCTTGTTTATATAGCAATCCTGAAATATGGTTTCCAGAGAAGCAGTTTGCTTCTTTCAAGACAAAGTAGGAACTATGATAATGTGCTGACACATGACCAAGGGTTCTGAAAACAAAACCTAATTGTCTGCAAACATGTGTAGTGATTGATAATGTAGCTATGAACCTCACAAGCCTGAGCATAATAGGGCTAAGCATATTCCACAGAATGCAATATTGCCAGCTGAACAGCTCCACGGCGCAAAACGATACGGTCTAAAGTTCATGTGCAAGTTTCGGTCTTCTTCGCTCTCTGAGCGCGTAAGCGCTGGCATCTGGGTAGCGAGACCAGTGTTGATTGTAGCTAGTGGCGTCGAGAGCGGTGCCGTCGGACATACGACGTGCTTGCTTGCATGCATTATGTAGGCGAGAAAGGACGGCAGTCCGTCGCCGCGCTGGTCTCAAGTACTATCTAGAAGACCGCGAGAGAAAACGCGAGGACGGAGCGTGAAATGGAAGCGCAAAATGGAAAATGGAAATAGAATTTGGAAATTGGTAGTACAAAATGGAAAATGGGAGGTCAATTTGGAAAATGGAAAGACGAAATGGAAATTGGAAGGATGGCACTTGTCGGCCACCATAAGAAAGAGATAAAATTCCAGCATCATGACTGTGTTAGTTTATAGCAACCCTGAAACAATGGTTTCCAGCCAGAATCAGTTTGCTTCTTTCAAGACAAAGTAGGAACTATGATAATGTGCGGACACATGATCAAGGGTTCTGAAAACAAAACCTAATTGTCTGCAAACATGTGTAGTCATTTATAATAATTATGCGTAACTATGAACCTTGCAAACCTGAGCATAATAGGGCTAAGCATACTTCAAAGAATACAATATTGCCAGCTGAACAGCTACACGGCATAAAACGTGACGGCCTAAAGTTCATGTGCAAGTTTCGGTTTTCTTCGCTCTCTGAGCGCGTAAGCGCTGGTACGGATATACACGCATAATGTAGCTAGCTAAGTGTTTCCCATCGCTATAGAATAACCATGCGGCTTCGTGTAGCTAGCTAAATGCACTGAAACCGCTGGGCTCAGAGACTATATACCCCGTTTATATAACCTCCCTCCCTCCTGTCGGTTAGACTCTGCAGCAACATAGCTAGTAGGACAACACGAGGATTGCTTACCTTCAGTTTGACTTGCGTAGGTCAATAATGAACACCATAACAGGGCACAAACGCTAAGTACAACAGCAAGCATCCTTGTGGTATTAACAGGAAGGCAAGCGAAACAACGGAGTGTTATCAGAGCCTGACCCAACCGCGCCATAGCATCGTTTGGCAGGAAGCCATGCCGGATGTGATGGGATTTAGCCTTAGCGCGAGGCGCGCTCGGTGGGCGAGGCCGCGTTCGTATTATACGTACGCATGCACGCGTGAGGCGTCGCGGGTCGTCAGCGTACTCAGCAGAGCCTCGCTCAGAGTCATGGATGAGGAGAAGAGGGAGGTGAGGCTGCAGCATCTACGACAATGTGTGCCGGTCTCCACGCCAGACCAAAACGCCTGGGCCTTCGCTGGCCGAGATGCCCTCTCTGATCTAGCCGGGGGCCCACTACCCGATTGGTCCTTAGCAAAAGCCTCTCTCCCTTCGTCGCTCGGTGGGCTGAAATGTTCGTCAAGCCTCCTTGCGTACCTCTGCCACCTATATTGCTTCTTTTCTTCGATGCAGACCCCTAATATCAAGGATCCGGATCCTGGGTACACTGCCAAGCCACCTGTCCACCTCCCTGACGCCATTATCTGTCGAGCTGTTGACGAGGCATCTTTTGATGCCTTGTTGGATTCAGCTCCCAACGTTCGCTCCAAAGCTCTGGCCCTTTCATCCGCTCTTCGTAATGCAGGTGTGACTGGTTAAATGTCATCCCATCCTCAGCCCTGGGCCTCCACCTTTTCGATCGGGAATTCCGGTTCTGCCTGCAGTACTGGTTGGGTCTCCAGATGTTCGAGGAGGGTCTAAGGTGCCCCGTTTTTCATGCCGTGGCCGGCCACTTTGGTGGGTCGTGGAGGAAACTGTGATGGAATCCTCCGACAGAATTCCCTTCGGGGGTGCTGTTTTTTCAGCAGCTCAGTCAGCTGCCTTGGTGACCCGAAGGGAAGTCCCCTCTCTAGTCCCAGGCACCTACTGACATCTACCTCACCTGCTGGATAAGGGGCCGCCCAGCTGCTTTGGATGTCACTGTCATCTCCACATTGCATAAATCAATCGTTCGGGGTGCTGCAGCAAATCTGGACCACGCCGTCTTGGTTGCCGAGGAGAGGAAGTTTGCTTCCCACGGTGCTCTACCTGTTTCATCCCCCTCTCCATAGAGTCCCTAGGTGTGACATGGTTGCTGACACGATCTCCAGCCTAGGCCGTCTTTTGGACCAGCGTTTGGGGATCTCTCCAGTTGAATCGAGTACCAAAGGCTCGCAATATCTCTCTGGAGGGGAAATGCATCTGCCTAGAATCACCGTTGTCCACAACTCGCTCCCTCTTTAGATGGTGTAATGGGTCTTGCTTGTTTGTGTAGTTTTGTTTTGTTTTTTTGTGTGCATTTTCCCCTCTGTTTTGTTCTTTATCCTTAGTATGTCGGTTCTTACTTGTCTTTTTTCTTTGTACTGTCCTTTATTAGTGCTGTCCTTTATTAGTGCTTTGTACTGTCCTTTACTAGTGCTGTACTGTCCTTTATTAGTACTGTCCTTTATTAGTGCCCTTGTCCATCCTCCCGCGCACGTACGCAGCGTGACCGAGCGCGCCTTGGCAATAATAGCGCGTTCACATCACATCCGGCTTAGCTTCCTGTCAAACGGTGCTGAGGCGTGGTAGCGTCAGGCTCTGTAATACCCGCTTGCGCATGCTTCCTGTTAATACCACAAGGATGCTTGCTCTTGTACTGAGTGTTTTTGCCCTGTTATGGTGTTCAGTATTGACCTACGCAAGTGAAACTGAAGGTAGGCAATCCTCGTGTCTATTGCTGCAAAGTCTACGACGGGGTTTGGCCATAAATGGACATAAACTGATATTTTTTGCCTATGAATCAATAGAACAAAGTATGGGAATAGAATCAATATAGAACAAAGTTAAGATGGTGTCACGTAGCTTTGTGTGCTAGCTGTATAATGACCCTTGGTCTTCCTTTTCATGTTTTAGGCCATCCACTATATCCCCTTCATTTGAAGAAATAATTTTTGTACTTGTTTCCATTATTTTTTTATGAAATCAATACTACTAGTCACTCTGATTTGCATAGATTGTAAGAGTGTGACTATAAACTGATTCAAGTTGTTGACACTGCACTGCACATTAAATCTGGCATGATGAGTAGGGAGGAAGGGACACTGAAGAACAGCATAGTATATGCAGTATCTAATGGCATGAAGGGGCAGTATAGCTGCCCAGAGAGACAATTACTGACTAGTAGAGAGGTAATTAGGTTATAGGTCAAGAGGTGATTTCAAACTGGGTTTGTCATTTGGAATTAAAAATCGTTCATGTGTTGGTGAGATTTCCTCACATGAATAGAACGAAATATCTTCGAAACTTCGTTCCTACTCGGAAATTTGACGTTACTTTCGATAATGTAGAGATAAAATTGGCACTGATGTATATAGAAAATTCAGCTCAATGCCACTTATGCGTGGAAAATGATGCATATAAATACAACCAACGTATCTAAATTTTGTACACTTGGTCTGACTACTTCATCTCTCACTCTCCAAACTTGTGAAATGTCCTTTGCATGGCTGCATCAGTAAAAAAAATGTATATACAGCAGTGGTTAGATGGGGATACATGAGTAGCTAGTGGACAGCTACATAGCATATGCATGATGTGTTAGGTGTTGGCAGTGGCCCACAACAAACAACATATGCTGGTACAAGATAAAGATAACCAGTGGATTGCCACCCACACATACAACAAAGAAAAACCAAAAACCAAAAAACAAACACACATGCAAAACATAATATTATTATGAGAGTTGCAAACATACTTGAAGCATACCATAGTTAGTAGTCGTACTAAGCTCTGATAACGCCGTTGTAAACTGTCAGCCAGCAAAAGTATTTGTTCGTAGCCATTAGTAGCTCAGGCTTGTGAGGTTATTAGATACATTAGAGTGGGTAATTTAAATTGCGCAATTGATTGGTCGTGCGCGGACTCTAAGTAGAAGTAGAGCGAATTTTCCGGACTCGAAATAAACTTTCTACGGACTCTAAAGTGGCGCATGCGCAAAGGTCACTTAGGTGGGCGGAGTCCGCCAACGGTCGGCGAAGTGTTAGAGTCGAGCCGGTGGCGACGTCCTTCCCTGGGCCTCTCGCTGGACTTAACAGCGAGAAAGCAGCGCTCGTTCGCGGTTTCAGATGCACCGATTGAATTGCGCGCACCGCGTTGCCATAGCTCTAAACAAGGTAGACGCCTCGGCCATGGAAACTACGCGCATTAGAGCGCCTTGGGGGCCCTTAGTAGCGTCCTCGCTCGCTCGAAACGCCGACAAAGCCCGGCCCCCGCGGCCTCTAATGCGCGTAGTTTTGGATCGGCATCTAACTTATATAGTATATCAATGACTACATAATTATGTTAGGTTTTGTTTTCAGAACCCCATGATGATGTGTACAGCCATTCTTATGTATAAGAACGTTGTCTTCTGGTGAAAAAATTACACCATTTAGAGGTCGCTAGAGCTACCACACGATGCTGCATTATGGATGGTGTCTCTTCTCTGTAATATTACCGCAACGAAAAAATGGATAGTAGCGATGTGCACATAGATCAAGTACTTTATCGGATAGTTATACTTTCATCTCAGTCCTAATCATAGACTGAGACAAGCCTAAGCAATACTCTTAGAGCTCAGGAGCTTTATGAACCTCGGCGCGCATGCGCAGCGAGGGTTACTTGTAGTGGGTTTGTCTGTGTGTGACTGTACTCCCACTCTCCACCCATCTCGAACGTCAGTCGTCCCAGAAACGATACCATTCTACCCAACGGGCGACGAAGTTCAGAAGAAAACAATGTGGGGTTTCTCTGAAAATGCTCCGTTGCAAAGCGCTAGAGCGCTCCGGTAGTCGCATTTATTGCTGGCGGATAATGCGCGTGCGCTTATATTAGCACGACGGGGTCGCTGCCGCTGTCTATATTGAAGGCACAAGAGTACCAACGAATGCGTGTATCGACTCTCGCGTGCTATCTACTACTGTAGCTAGCCCTGTCAGACGCGCTGCGAGGCATTCGCTCGAGGTTTACACATTAGTGCTTTTCATTGGGTCGGTCTGTGAGTGGCGGTCTGTCTGTTACTCGGCATCACTTCTCGACCGTCTGTCGTCCAGAAACGGTGACATCTACCCCACGGGCGACGCCCGAAGGTCAGAACATAAGGGCGGTGTTCTGTGTGACTGAAAACGCTCCGTTGCTAAGCTAGCGCGGAAAAAAGCAATATGCAAAACACCAACGGCCATGATCGATCCGCGTGCTCTGCGTACACCAGGAGAGGCACCAGACGACGCAGCGGCGTGTAACCCGCTCTCGATGCTATCGAGTATGTGCAGTTAGACCCGCGTCAGACTCTGCGCGAGCTGGCAAGAGACACGAGTAAGCTAAAACTAAAACCCAGCCCATTCAATAGTGGACGGCACAGGCGTTTTTTAGTACGCGCGCGCGTCACAGGCGCCGAGGGTTTGCACTTAGTGATTTTCATTGTAGTTATCAATGGTGCAAAGTTATTGCAAGTTAGTCAGAGTTCGGGGGTCACACTATTTTTTAATAATCAGGTCCCTAATGGATTCATGACAGTCAGATATGGAGAAGCCTTGCCCGATTGCACGGCCAGGGGACATGTATGTAGGCAATAACCAAAGGCTATAACACAAAACACGCTGCATATAGATATATAAATATTGTTTGCAGACTTTTTGGTAATATGCCAGAACTGTTTCTGCCATCGTTGGATGAAAAATATGATATTATTCAAGCTGAACATAAGGACTCACCGATATTAACCAAGTCATCTTTTGGTATCGTGGTGCACAGCTCAGAATGCATGAATGGTATCATCAGTTTGATGACCGTCGATTTCGTGGAGAGGATAGCATTCCTCAAAAACTGACAGGAGGAATTTGGGTGGTATAGTGGTGAGCAAACAGCATCACCTCCATATAAACAACTTAAACTATTGAAAGACGTGAGCTATGTTCCAGTTGAGGGATATTTCTTCTGTGATCCTGATCGTAATAATAATAATAATGACAAATATATCTCAATTGGGATCCATTACCCCAGTGAGTTTACATGACAGAACAATATCTATGTAGCTACATGTATGTGAGTTGCAGTGCCTTGCGTGCCTAATTCCATCTCACTATTTTAATCTGCAGTTCCGACTTAATCAAGACTGCTGCTATATTTGGTATTGGAAGTGGTGCAGCATTAATTGGAATCATTATTTTTGGAATTTCTATTGCCTGCATTGTGTTCAAAAGGTAACAACCTCATGTAATTTTTGGGAGTTTGATAATCATTTTAGATCACATCGCAGAGCCAGGCCAAGATTGTACACAGAGGATAATCCAGCCTATGGTGTAACTCTGGGTGTGAGATACAAACCATCAAGAAAGGCAGATTTATCACCTACCCATACACAGGAGCCTGTGTATGATACAATCAGTTAGTAACATGAATTCACCTGTAATTTCGTTTAAGAGAGCATCTTTGTCTCTCTTTACATAATGTTATATGCATAAAATAGCTGTCTACAAACCTGATACTCAATGGTCAATGGTATGCAATTGTCCCCCTACGGAGGAACTGGTCATTATCCACACAAAAAATATCAAAGAGTACATGTCTGGGATAGGCATGTGCTGCTTGTGTATTTGTCAGAACATGAAACACATCTGTGAGCATTTTCAAAACTCAAAACAATAATTCTTGCAATTGACGAACCTAATAGTTATATAATTATAGCTAGTTTTATAAATGGCACAGAGACTCAACTGTATGCCGTAGTTGATCGTGGACGAACAATTAAAGCGGACACAAAAGGGTGAATAAAAGATTCCAGTATTACCTAGAGTGCATAGAAAATAGCCACCAAAGCTCCCCAACAACTGACACCCTCTGAGTAGTCGGCAAGGGTCAATATACATGCACCAATTTGTCTTTGGTTCCACTGTATTTGAGGTGGGACAGGTAGGGTAAAAACGTATTTGTGAGTCAGCATTAATAATTAGATGCCGGGGAGAAAAGTAATTGTTATGTCCTGAATCTTTCAGAGTAATCTAAAGGCACATTAAAACTAGATTGACCTGGTTTAATAAAACATGACCCGTGCTATACCATACACAAATTCATACATAGGTGTGTGGGTATCACTAACTCATAGCTATAATTCAAGGGTTCTTATCACTAAGAAAATTGCTGTAAGTGTCAAAAGAGTCCAGATACACCAACACTGCTTCAAACAGCAAATGATAGTGTGCCTGCAATGAAGGACATCAGGTTGTGGCTGTCACTGTACTTTTACCAAAGGACTTACCACAGTTGGGACAGCTCCAGGTTTCTGTACTCTGAGAGCCTTGACCACCTGGAACACATCCACCACTCCCTCTGTCTTACACCTCTCAATGGTGGTGACTGTGGCACAGAACATCCCAGACCTACCCACTGTGTCACTGTGGGAAAAGTAAGAATCCCGCCAACAAACGAATGCAAGTAATAGGTTTGAGTCACTCTATAGCTAGCCAACTATACCTGCAATGGACTACAGTGGGACTGTTGCCAGTTGTGATCTGGATGTTTATCATCTGACTTATCACACTTGTAACAGTGCTGAGGTTATGACATCTACCATCAGGACTCCAGTTAGTTATGTGCAGCTGTACAATCTGATGAGCACTTCCAGACTGCTATAAGCATGAAGGAGAAATTTAAATAATTCTATACTAACATGCTTACCTCAGTATTTGAAAGACTCAGTTTACGAATAGTATATCCAATCCCTGTCTGTTCTTCTGTCAAATCGACTGTATACTCTCCAAATTTAACCATTCCAGTCTGAGGCCAATACTGACAACACATCTCCTGCGGTTTTTGTGTCATAGCTATAATATAACAATGAAACGTGTTGCTACCTCTCCATCTTCCACCAAGTCACAGAGCATAACAATGACTCCACACTTCCTGTCATGGACCATCTTCCAGAAATCTCTGGCTGTGGACTCCATGGGACTCTGAGCTATGATGAATGCTCTCTTTTGCTTGTAACCCTGTAATAATACAGAAATATTGATGGAGACACTGATCACTATGAAGCTGTACATACACTAGCAAAAACTGCATGAATGTAGTCATTACTCCCTCCCCTCAAAGCCACACGCCACTTGTCAGCTGAAGGAGAACACTATATAATACATTTTCATTGATGTTGTAAGAGTCAACTAACATGGAAGGTACCAAAGATTGCGGTTTTTATTTCCATTTCGAAGAGCTTCCTTTCTTGAAACCTCTGCTGGTTTAGGGGATACCTTTTCAAGAACCTGCAAAATTACAATAATTCCCCATGTCTCTGATGAAAAGACATACATAATTATACTAACCTTGAACTGTTTTTCAAATTCAGTCACATACGTTTGTGGACTGTTAATTATTTTCCTCATAGATTTGTGGAAAATTCTAGCATCAATTTGTGTGTCTCCACATAACAAATCTTCTAGGATTGCATCGTGGACAAAGATATACTGCTCCTATTGTGTTTACAATCAATCCAAGTATATAGCTAACTGGATGATAAAAGAAATCACTCTATATACGAACCAGACTTTCAACAAGTTTCATTCTCTGTGTGCGGAGGTGGATGATGACACCAGCTATATCCACCACCTTCTCCTCCTCTTGCAGCTGCTCAAGAACACAGTCAATAGTTATCAGAGTCCCTGTCCTCCCCACACCAGAACTGTGGGTAAATAAACCCAGACCTATTCCGTTAACAAGGTAATAAAGCCACTAAAAGTCTATGCTACACCATTACACAGCTGTCATACTTATAGGCCCCCTGAATAATATCCTTTATAGCATCACATTTTTGGCGAGTGAAGTTCAATATTTTGCGCGTGTTTTCACGGATCACGTAAGCATTTCCTCCACTATGTAAACATTTTTCTTCTCTAACCATGTTTTGAGTGAAGCTATAGCCTACCTATAATTATAATGTTGTGACCCGCACTGCCACACTGTACCGTAATGATTCCAAATAGGTGCGAAAACACGCGAGAAAAATTGAACTGTATGCGTCCAAAAATGCATTGCATTAGGTACCTGCAGTGAACAATCATTGGTCCTTTTGATAACTCATGACGTTTCTTCACTTTCTTGAGGAAGACTAGCAGTGAAGTGGCAGAGTAAGGCACCCTATACTCAGGCCACTCTGTGAAGTGGAACTGAGTCACAGTTAGAATATCTCCAGGGCTCTCTGTGAGCTACATGGAAAAAGTTTACTTGTAGGAGAACTGATGGTAGATATAAAAGTGGAAAAATCATTTCTTCAAAATGAAAGGGGGATATAGGGATGGCTTGAAGCACCAAAAAGGAAGAAACAAGGGGTCATTACACAGCAAAGATGCACAAAGCTACATGACACCATCCCTATATCTTTGTCTCATATTAAACTTTACTTCAAGGTAAGCTGTTGCAGAGTGGAAATGACGGAGATGTCAAGCGCGGCTGGACGACCTCTTTCCCAATTAGGGAGGAAAAAGTCAGTAGGGCGAGATTGGTTGTGAACAATAAAACAAAGATATAGGGATGGTGTCATGTAGCTTTGTGCATCTTTGCTGTGTAATGACCCCTTGTTTCTTCCTTTTTGGTGCTTCGAGCCATCCCCACGCCTTATGACAACATTGCATTTTCAGTCACTCTGATGTTCATGGGTGTTGTAGAGATAACTGTTGAAAGCAGAAGCTAATGGGCTGCTCCTACCTGAAGCAGGGTGTATGCGTAGTGTCTCCAACAAGGATGCAATTAGATTGTGGCACATATGGTGGGGTGGTTTCATAGGCAGGCTTCAGTAATCAGAATACAATGAAAAGCACTTAAGTGCAAACCCTCGGCGAACTGTGACGCAAAATCGTAAGTAAACGCATGCGCCGTACCACTAATTGATGGGCTGGGTTTAGCTTTAGCTGTTACTCGTGGTCTCTTGCCAGCTCACGCAGAGTCTGACGCGGTCTAACTACACTACTAGATAGCATGCGAGAGGCGATACACGCCCTGCGTTGCATCTTCTGGTGACTCCGAGGTACGCAGAGCACGCGGATCGATCATGCCATAGTAAGCCGTTGTGTATTTGCATATTGGCTTTTTCGCGCTCTAGCTTTGCAACGGAGCGTTTTCAGAGAAAACCGTTCGAAATTTCTGACCTTCATTGCCCGTTCAGTATGTGGTATACTTTGTGAGACGAACAAACACCAGAGAAGTGAGATTGAGAGTAACAGACACACAGACACACAGACCCAAGTACTGTATCCCTCGCTGCGCATGCGCGCCGAGGGTTAATAACCTGGGGGACAAAGAATGAAGGCGCTGTGCAAGGCCCGCGTAACACGGCGCACACTGCCAAGTTGCTCCTCGTGCAAATCAACAGCAAAACGCAAGCTAGCCAGTTAAAATGTGTATACTGACTTACAGAAGGCATTGGAGGATAAGAATTCCTCTGCAGGCATCCTGGCTTAGTCTCGTGGACCTGGTTTACGCACGAGACTGTATTAATGCGCGCGCACCGCATTGGGGAAACGCCCTCCTCGGCGCATGCGGCTCACTGATGCTGAGTTAGCAGCAAATGGCGTTGTTCAGTGACTACCGTGGAAGAGCTCAATGATCTACCGTAGTGACTTGCGGCAAAAAACAAGCGATCGCTTGATATGCGTGCACACCTCTTGAATATTTGGAGACGTTCTGTGAAAAAATCAACGCTTCAACTACTTCCGGTAAGGAGCTAGCGGGTCTGAAGAAGAAGAAGAAGAAAAAGAAGAAGAAGAAGAATAATGATGACAAGTGGAAAAATCATTTCTTCAAAATGAAAGGGGGATATAGGGATGGCTTGAAGCACCAAAAAGGAAGAAACAAGGGGTCATCACACAGCAAAGTTGCACAAAGCTACATGACACCATCCCTATATCTTTGTTCGATATTAAACTTTGCTTATAAACAATAAAACAACGATATAGGGATGGTGTCATGTAGCTTTGTGCAACTTTGCTGTGTGATGACCCCTTGTTTCTTCCTTTTTGGTGCTTCAAGCCATCCCTATATCCCCCTTTCATTTTGAAGAAATGATTTTTCCACTTGTTTCCACTATTTTTTAACAGCTTATGACAACACTGCATTTATTGCTACAGTCACTCTGATGTTCATGGGTATGTTGTAGATAGGCTACTATAGACAAATTGTAACTGTAGTAGTAGCTAATGGGGCTGCTAGTGCCTGAAGCAGGGGCTGGATACCACATTCACCTCGTCTTCAACACGGATGTAATTAGATTATTGCACATGGTTGTGGTTTCATGGGCAGGCTTTGGTAATCAGGCTACAAACCTTGGGGGCCGATGGACTGGACGCCCCGCAAGGCTCGCGTAACACCGCGCAGACTCTGGCAAGTTGCTCTTCGTGCAAATCAACAGCAAGCTAGCCAGTTGCAAATGTGCACACTTACTTACAGAAGGTACTGGAGGCTGACAGTTCCTCTGCAGGTCTGCCAACTCGCCTGGTATACGCTCGCAAGCGCATGTGGACAACGCCCCTGCCTGGCGCATGCGCGCGGCTCACTGATGCTGAGTTAGCAGCAAATGGCGTTGTTCAGTGTCGACCTTGGAAGAGCTTCATGATCTACCGTAGTGACTAGCGGCGAGAAAGAACCGATCGCTTGATGTCCGTGCACACCTCGGGCGAAATTGGAGACGTTCAGTGAAAAAATTAGCGCTTCAACTTGTTCCAGTAAGGAGAAAGCGGGTCTAAAGAAGAAGAAGAAGAAGAAGAAGAAGAAGAATATGATGACACCAAAATCGTGAAATCGCGTATGAGCGAATTCTCGCGTGGACGACTGAAGGTGGGTATGAGGTCTTGGGGGACATGTATAGGTAGATATGTGCCCGTAGACTATTGCTAGTATGTTTTGAAGGCCTAGGGAGTGATTCTCAGCGAGTTTTTAGTCGTTTTGTACGCGGATCACGTGAGATTTCACCCGTGTCATCCCTATATAGAGAGTCTACCGACTCTCTGATTATGATGACACGAAAATCGCGAAATCGCGTAAGAGCGAATTCTCTGGTGGGGAACTGAGGGCACGTAGGAAGTCTTGGGGCATATGTATAGCTAGGTATTGGCCTCTAGACTATTGCTAGTGATTTTGAAGCCATGGTGAGTCATTCTCGCTGAGTTTTGAGGCGTTTTGTACGCGGATCACGTGAGATTTCACTCGTGTCATCCCTATATAGAGCGTCTACCGACGCTCTGATATCACTCAGTAGTACCTGAACAGCAAAGTGGCGAGTAGTGTAGTCAGCCAGTGTCTGTTGTCCTGTGATGGTGACATTGAAGGGACCAAAGGACAGGGTCCCAGTCTCTGGCCAGTACTTGTGACACTTGATCCTATTCCCCTCCACCAGATTGGTGACCATCACAATGGTCTGAGACCTCTCCTGCCACACCATCCTCCAGAAGTCAACAGTTGTGTTAGGCAGTGGTCCTGTAGCAAACAAACATAAGTGAATGCCTATATAGTGTTGTTGTAATTAATACCTTGTGTTGCAATGTATTGCTGTTCTTTTTTGTACCCCTGTATAATGTGGCAGTGTAAAAGATGAACTTATACACACTGAACCAATTCACTGACATCAATGTAGCTGGCATTAATGAAGTCTTCCTCATAATCTGAGTGACCACGAATAGGTTTGAGTATTACCCTGTTGTCTTCATCTAGTAGACATAATGTTATGAATAATTAGAAACTAAAGCCACTTACAAACAGTAATTTTGGAAAATCTGTTGAGTTTGGACTTTCTTAGAGTCTTGGGAACCTCTTCATCATACTGTTGTAAAAAACACACATATACAATTATAGGCATGTCTAAGCTCAATGCAAGACATTCTTATTGCATACTTGCAAAGTGTTTAAGAACAGTTTAGTAGGTAAATATAGATAACCCACCACAGTGAGGACAGCTCCAGGTTTGTATACCCTGAGAGCCTTGACCACCTGGAACACATCCACCACTCCCTCTGTCTTACACCTCTCAATGGTGGTGACTATGGCACAGAACATCCCAGACCTACCCACTGTGTCACTGTGGGAAAAGTAAGAATCCCGTCAACAAACGAATGCAAGTGAGTTTGGGTCATCTTCCTTACTCTATAGCTAGCCAACTATACCTGCAATGGACTACAATGGGACGGTTGCCAGTTGTGATCTGGATGTTTGTCATCTGACTTATCACACTTGTAACAGTGCTGAGGTTATGACATCTACCATCAGGACTCCAGTTAGTTATGTGCAGCTGTACAATCTGATGAGCACTTCCAGACTGTTATAAAGCATGAAGGAGAAATTTAAATAATTCTATACTAACATACTTACCTCAGTATTTGAAAGACTCAGTTTACGAATAGTATATCCAATCACTGTCTGTTCTTCTGTCAAATCGACTGTATACTCTCCAAACTTAACCATTCCAGTCTGAGGCCAATACTGATAACACATCTCCTGTGGTTTTTGTGTCATAGTATAATATAACAATGAAACGTGTTGCTACCTGTCCATCTTCCACCAAGTCACAGAGCATAACAATGACTCCACACTTCCTGTCATGGACCATCTTCCAGAAATCTCTGGCTGTGGACTCCATGGGACTCTGAGCTATGATGAATGCTCTCTTTTGCTTGTAGCCCTGTAATAATACAGAAATATTGATGGAGACACTGATCACTATGAAGCTGTACATACACTAGCAAAAACTGCATGAATGTAGTCATTACTCCCTCCCCTCAAAGCCACACGCCACTTGTCAGCTGAAGGAGAACACTATATATATAATACATTATCATTGATGTTGTGGAATGGAATTTTAAGCCATGGAGAGGCAGGCAGAGGAAGGGTTGGAGTAAGGTCATTGATGATCTCTTTTCGTCATTAGGTCTTGACAAGGCAGAGTGGTTGCATGATATTCAAAATGGGGATTGCTCCTTGAAGGGCTTTTTGTCTATAATAGGGGACAGTATTAATGAGAGGGAGATTAGAAAGTTTGAAGAGGGGCTAAATAGCAAAGTAAAGCTGTTATTGTATAAGACATTTAACAAGGTGGTAGAGTTCAAAAAGTACTTGCATGGGAAAAGTGATGCTGGGTCTAGATTAATGTTTAAGTTCAGGTCAGGCACGCATGGGCTAAATGAGGAACTCGGTAGGCATAGGGGGAGGGAGGGTATGAAGGAGGTGATTTTACGGAGGAGGAATCCCTTGACTGCCTTTTCCTCTAGCAGATCAACTGTATATTCTCCAAACTGAGCTACTCCAGTCTTAGACCAGTATTGATAACACATCTCCTACAATGACACCTCACTTCATATACTGTTATGAAACACACACAAATGTTCACCTGTCCGTCTTCTACCAAGTCACAGAGCATAACTATGACTCCACACTTCCTGTCATGGACCATCTTCCAGAAATCTCTGGCTGTGGACTCCATGGGACTCTGAGCTATGATGAATGCTCTCTGTTGCTTGTAACCCTGTACATTGAGATACAGGACTTAAGCTACTATAAACCTATTCCAACACCAGTGAAAAAACATGCTAGACTTTACATTAACGAAAACAGCATGAATGTAATCCACTTTATCTCCCCTCAGTACAACACGCCACTGATCACCTGCAGAGAGATAATAGCATGATTGAATATCCTTCATTCTCTATGTATCAGTACCAGGAAGATAGCGATCATTGCGATTCTTGGAAGGATTATTAAGAGCCACTTTCTGTGATACTTCCATTGGTGTAGGGGATAATTTCTCAAGAACCTGTAGTCAAAAGTATATTTTTCATTGCATAATTTTCGGAGTTTAATTCAACAAAATGTGTGTGCATAAGGTGGTTTGTAAAGCACCGTACTTTTGGATTTTACTCACACAGTCACAAAAACTGGAGACCTGAGTAGTGTAGTCAGCCACTGTCTGTTGTCCTGTGATGGTGACATTGAAGGGACCAAAGGACAGGGTCCCAGTCTCTGGCCAGTACTTGTGACACTTGATCCTATTCCCCTCCACCAGATTGGTGACCATCACAATGGTCTGAGACCTCTCCTGCCACACCATCCTCCAGAAGTCAACAGTTGTGTTAGGCAGTGGTCCTGTAGCAAACAAACATAAGTGAATGCCTATATAGTGTTGTTGTAATTAATACCTTGTGTTGCAATGTATTGCTGTTCTTTTTTGTACCCCTGTATAATGTGGCAGTGTAAAAGATGAACTTATACACACTGAACCAATTCACTGACATCAATGTAGCTGGCATTAATGAAGTCTTCCTCATAATCTGAGTGACCACGAATAGGTTTGAGTATTACCCTGTTGTCTTCATCTAGTAGACATAATGTTATGAATAATTAGAAACTAAAGCCACTTACAAACAGTAATTTTGGAAAATCTATTGAGTTTGGACTTTCTTAGAGTCTTGGGAACCTCTTCGCCATACTGTTGTAACGACTGTAAAACAAATAAAGAGCTTACAGTATTACCAAAATGTGTCCTTTATTAGATATCAAACTTTGCACTATTTGTGAACACTAATGGACACAAGTTCCAAAGTCATTCAAGAACATTTTTTAGTTTGGCAGCTCATACCGCAAATTGGGCTTTAAAGTCATTATTTTGATTGGAATGACATCTTGTGACATAGTCTCCAAATTCATCTGCAGGTATTGGACAAACTAGGTTTGTCATTATGGAATCAAAAATAGTGTCATGTATTGGTGAGATTTCCTCCACTGCTTCCACATCATATGAGTCAAAGGAAATATCTTCGTAATCTTCGTCTTCCTCGGAAATTTGCGTTACTTTCAATGCTGTAAAAGAGACGAAGAATTTAACCCAAAATAAACGGGTGTAAATATGGTTTACCACTAGTAATATCTCTGCTTGCATTAGTATCTGGAGTGTCAGTGTATGGAAGAGAGAGTAGATTGCTAGCAGTGGCACTCTGGTTGCTTTTGTCCTGTTTTTTAGTTCTATTCCTGCTCCTTCTGCAATATATAAATATAATGAAATGCAAACCCTCGGCGAACTGCGCATGCGCAGTACCACTAATTGATGGGCTGGGCTTTATATGCCTTTACTCGTGGTAGCTATCCCGCTAGTTGCTCACGGAGAGTCTGACGCGGGCTAGCTACAGTAGTAGATAGCATGCGGGAGTCGATACATGGCCTTCGTTGTGACTTCTTGTGCCTTCAAGATACACAGAGCGAGCGGACGCGGTCGGGGTAAGCCTGTGCTAATTTGCATTTTGGCTTGTTCACTTGCCTTTCACGCCATAACTTTTGAACGCAGAAGTTATATCAAAATCGCCTTTTTTAAAATGAAGCCAGTGTATATAGCACTGAACCAGTTACTATCGCTCTTTGGCCGATTTCTTGCGCGTGGTGGCAGAAAACGTGGTAACAGACAGACGGACAGACACACTTACGAACCAAGTACTATAACCCTCTAGCGCATGCGCGCCGAGGGTTAATTATGAGTGTAGTTTATAGTTGGGTGTAATAAAGAGGTTCCTAACTCACTTGTAGATGTACAGCATGATGACACCAATGTAAATGAGAAACAATGCTGTCACGAAAGATGCAACTATGCCAACCGTCACAACAATATCAATTGCTGTTCCTGAACAAGTTTGAGAGTAGAAATTAGGGCTTCTAAAAGTAAGTTATTAGTTACCCAGCGGGAGAAGTGTGGAAGCTCTTAGAGAGGACGTTGTTCCCGGTCCAACTCTAGTGTATGCTCTGACAGAGAATATATAGTCAGACCCTCCCTCCAGATCATTCCCTGCTGTGAAATTTGACTCCACATCAGTGGTGTTCAGACTGGACTCATGACCTGAATTGTCTGCTGGTCTGTAGGACACCTCATATGCGATGATGACACCATTAGGCAAAATAGGTGCACGCCAGGAAAGATATATTTGAGAGTGTGAGATGCTGAGAGATTTCCAACTGGACCAGGAACTGAGAGAAAGAAAATATTTCTTGCTCACTTTCGTCATGTACAAAGCTCATCACAAGGTTAAATCTCCCAGTAAAAAGGACCTTACTATCTTCCATGTTTCCATTGTAATTGAGGGGCTATAGGGGCCGAATTCTCCCTATTCCTTCATTGTCAGCCACCCAACGGAGTACGTGTGTAGGAGGGGAGGGGGAGTGTGGAGGTGAGGAGGGTTAAGACGGGTTGGATGTTCTGGGTATGCGGAGGAGTCGGACACCCCGGTTTGGTACGGGAGGCGAGTTTGTTTGCGCTGCGCGGGGCCGCGGGTCGGCTTGGGTGCAGGGCGCGCCTAGGGTCGTCCGGGCTTGTATTGTGGTGTGCGTCCCTCGTTTGGCGTGGATTGGGGTCGTTGGCGTGTCTCCGGGGATCGTGCGGGTGTTCGGTTCGTTCCGGGGCCGTGTTTACTATCAATCTGTTTCTGGGGGGTGCGGGTCGTGGGTCGGGCGCCGCGCTGGGGGGTCGGTTTCAGCGTGGTCGGCGGTCCCGGCAGTCGCGCGGGCTCGGCCGTCTCTCTGACGGGCGGGCAGGGGGGGCCGCGCGGGCGAGGGCCGTCGGGCGGGGTGGTTCCGGCGGGTCGCTGGGGTCCCGGAGTCCCTTCTTGTGTGTGTCGGGGGCGCGGGGGGGGGGCTGGCGGTCGTCCGGGTGTTCCCGTCCCCGTCTTTCGCTCTCCCTCTCTTTGTTTCCTTTCCCTTCTTTGTGTCCCTCCCCCCTGGCCTCTTGCTTTTTCCTTCCCCCTGTATTACTATCTGACGGGTACGATGGCCAGGCTGCCATACCAGTCCATCGGACTATAATTGATGTTTGTTGAACTCATAACTTCTCGCCTAATGTCCACTGCAAGTGCTGAGGCACCTGAAAAGAGCAAACAACTATATAGGTAGATAAAAATGTGAGGATGTACGGGTTTAATACCTAAAGCAATTGTGTGGATATCAGACTCCCCGGAAAGGTGTTCTGATATTGCTTCGACTATAAAAGTATATTCAAGGCAGTTTGTAAGGTTTGTTATGGAGGAGCTAATTGAAGGTGCAGGTACATCCTCAGTCATTTTATCAACTCCATCACTGTAGTGTACTACATATGCAGTCACTGTGGCTCCTCCTGATGGCTGACTCCACTCCACTATCACTGATGTAGCTGATTTCTGCTTTACAGAAAGTATAATAGGGTTCGAAGACACTGAGAAAATGGGCGATCTTATACCATAAGTAATAAGAAAAATAACCCAATACCTTTCAGATAGGAACTGCTAGATGAGTTGGACACTATATTGGAAGAAAAACAGATGTATGTGTCGCTATTATTACCACCTTGAAGAAGGATCTCTGCAGAGTATGAGTCATTCCCTGTCCTTTGAGGTGTGCCTACTGCAGAGGTATCCAAGTCTTCCTGCCTACCCAATGGCCCACTGATGGACATTGTCAGTACTGCTCCGCCAGTAAAAGTACATTTGACTTTGAAAACTCCATTTCTTTTTGTCTGTTACTTCGAAAGTCACTACCACACTGAGGACTAAACAGACACGTTTGTATAAATAATTGTTGTATACTAACCATACTGCATAATAACCAAAGAATCGGTGACGCCCTATAGTATGGATGGCACATGTCGAAACTCTTTAACATCCACACAGAAAATGCCTCAAAACTAACTAAGAATGCCTGGCTACGACGTTTGGCACTCTTGCATGACACAGGTGATTTGGTACAAGTGGAAAAATCATTTCTTCAAAATGAAAGGGGGATATAGGGATGGCTTGAAGCACCAAAAAGGAAGAAACAAGGGGTCATTACACAGAAAAGTTGCACAAAGCTACATGACACCATCCCTATATCTTTGTTTTATTGTTTATAAGCAAAGTTTAACAACAATATTATAACAACAAAGATATAGGGATGGTGTCATGTAGCTTTGTGCAACTTTTCTGTGTATTGACCCCTTGTTTCTTCCTTTTTGGTGCTTCAAGCCATCCCTATATCCCCCTTTCATTTTGACGAAATGATTTTTCCACTTGTTTCCACTATTTTTAACAATACTGCATTTATTATTACAGTCACTCTGATGTTCATGGGTATGTTGTGTATACCCATAGACAAAATTAATTGTAAGTAGCAGCTAATGGGGCTGCTAGTGCCTGAAGCAGGGGCTAGATACCGCATTCACCTCATGTATTGTCTTCAACAAGGATGTATAATACTTAGATTATTGCACATGGTTGTGGTTTCATGGGCAGGCTTTGGTAAACAATGAAGGCCCATTTTACTGAGCGCCCCGCAAGGCTCGCGTAACACCGCGCAGACTCTGGCAAGTTGCTCTTCGTGCAAATCAACCAGTTGGAAATGTGCACACTTACTTACAGAAGATACTGGAGGCTTAGAGTTCCTATGCAGGTCTTCCAACTCGCAAGGTCGCTAGCGCATTGGACAACGCCCCTACCTGGCGCATGCGCGCGGCTCACTGATGCAACAAATGGCGTTGTTCAGGTCGACCATGGAAGAGTTCAATGATCTACCGTAGTGACTAGCGGCAAGAAAGAAACGATTGCTTGATGTCCGTGCACACCTCCGGCGAAATTGGAGACCTTTAGTGAAAATATCAGTGCTTGAACTGGTACTGGTAAGGAGATAGCGGGTTTAAAGAAGAAGAAGATGAAGAATAATATGATGATGACACGAAAATCAGAAATCGCGTAAGAGCGGATTCTGGTGTCGAGAATTGCAGGGACATATGAAACTTCTGGGCATATGTATAGGTAGATATTGACCCGTGAGAGATTTTTGGTGTGTTTTGAAGACATAGCTAGCCATTCTCGCCGAGTTTCGAGGCGTTTTGTACGCGGATCATGTGAGATTTCACTCGTGTCATCCCTACATAGAGCGTCTACCGACGCTCTGATAGATGGGTGCCCCGGCCTTGAGAACCAGGGATGGTGGGTTAAAGAGTCTTTGATCACCGGTGAACTCTCCCCACTCACCCAAGCCTTTCTCACAGTGGTACTGCCCATGGAGTAGTAAATCAACGAAAACACACCTCAATATCGACGACAGCACAGAAACGGAATGACAGAGAGAGACCAAGAGCGAGCAGTTTATAACGCTGGCCAACAGGAAGCAAAGCCCAGTGAGATCCTTCCACTAAGGAATGTAGGGCCAGTCAGAATTTACGTGTGGTTACGTGTCTGTACAAGGATGGTCGTCCAATATACAGGCCACATATGCCTTCATAAACATGTCTCTTCAGACCTACGTTGTATCTATCCATTAGATGTTATTATATTTCACATAAAACTTTTTGAAACTGCCAACTAACTTATTATAACGGAAACCTTGTTTTATCAACCTGGTATCTAGCTATAAATTGACGCTTCCTGCATCCCTACAACAAAAAGTAAGTCATGAAGCCAAGTATACCTTTTAATGGCGTACAGTTTGTGTGTAACAAAACTATAAGCGGGAGTGTGTGTGTAATAATAATTATACATACTATTATGCACACAAATTGGTAACAAGCTTACATCAATATAGCTTGCATTGATGAAGTCTCTCTCTGAGTACCGATCAATCGATCTGAGTATGACCCTATTGTAGTCATCTTAACGAAGGTAAAGAGCCAATTAATAATTTGAAGATTTTCATCTCATTTCTTACAGACAGTGATGTTTCCAAATCTGTTCAGTTTCCTAAAGTTTTGACTTGTCCCAATGGATTTGGGGAAGTCTGGATCGTACTCCTGTATTAACTGCAATAGATTGCTGCACTCATAGATTTGCTTCTGAATAACAACACTATTATAGTCATACCGCAAATTGCTCTTTAAATTTCTTATCTTGCTTGGAGTGACACCGGGAAACATGATCTTCAAATTCAGCAGTATACTGAGATGGAAGTGGAGCATTCTCCTTGCCCTATGAAAGATGTAGCGTTGTTGGCCATCTCGGTATTTTTTCCTAATCTCACCTTTGAACTCATCACGGCCTCTTCTGATTTATGCCCTTCATCAGATGCATACGTCCCAACAGACACCGAAATGAAACAGAACCAGGGACACTACAGGTTACTCTAGACTAACGCATTGTTGGCGAGCGAGTGCGAGCAGTTCAATATTTCGTGCTTGGTGACTATCACGCCACGTAGAACATTATGGTATATGAGTGGCATCGCCGGTTAGAAAAAATTGGTCTGTTGGGACAACAAGGTAGGCTTGCTTCGCTTGCCAATAACAATGTAGCTATGTTTCCACATGGAGCATTAGCAAAACAACTTGTTGCTTGAAATGCCTGCTTCCGCTATCTGTGGCACTGGATGCTAGTAAAAAGCTCTGTAAAACAAGATGTTTGTTGGATTTTTAAGCTTATTGGTTGCACCTTGGGTACGTGCCAGTACAAAAAGCTAAACTCATTCTCTCACTTATGTGCACTTGGTAACAGTTATGAGGCTAACCTGTTTCCAATGGTATAGTGGTAGTAACCTGATTGCTGTCAGTTTCATAAATGTGTTCAAGTGGATTATGAGCCTCAATCTTTGGAATATTCTTCTTCCTTTGACAAAATCTAGATTTATCATCTATGAGTAGGAATCACTAACCTGCGTATGATGCATCCCAAGACTACGATACTGAGCATAAGCACAAACACTGTCGCAATTGATGAGATAGTGATGTGTAACAAGTAACTAGTTGCTGTACCTGCAGTAACAAAAACATGACAAGACAGTATTCGCTGTGCATATATAGCCAAAACCTTTCTTTCTTACTTGACACAGCAGATAGTGTAGCCACGGTAAGAGAGGTAGCATTTCCAGGTCCCACTCTGGTGTAGGCTCTCACAGAGAAGATGAATTCAGTGGCCTCCTCAAGGTTGCTCTCTGTGGTGAAATTAGTGGCCAGAGCAGAGGAGTTCACTCTAGTCTCAGGCTCTGAGGAAGCTGTTTGTCTGTAGGAAACCTCATATGCTATGATTATTCCATTAGACATCAGTGGTGGCTCCCATGTCAGGGTTACTTGAGACGGAGAGGGAGATGCCGTGACTGCACCTACTGGACCTGGAACTAAAACATTATTATAAGAAAAGGTACTGATAATAGTATGTTAGACATCATTTACCATCTTCCAAAGTTCTATTAGTGGTGGGGTAACTGTATGGTCCCACGTTTCCCATCTCATTCACTACAGCTACTGTAATGGAGTAGTTGGTGTATGGAGTGAGTCCAGTCAGCATTGCCTCAGTTGATGTTACAATTAATTCTCCAGTTCTGTCTGTAATATCAGAGGCAGCACTGAACACTGCAGTGTACTTCACTGAGAATTTAACAGACAGATGACTGACTGGACCGCAGGCTCTCAGGTGGTCCCATTGGACTGAGATGACTGTTGAACTCACTGCTTCAGCTGTGACATTTACTGATAGGTCTGATTCACCTGAATCAAAAATCAAATACATAAAAAGTATTAGCAATAAGCATGAATTCACCTAATTCGAGTGCAAATGTTTCTGATATTCCAGAGATGTGCTCTGAAGCAGCTTCAACTGAAAATGTGTAGTTAGAACACCAAGTTAGGTTTCTGATATTGTGACTAGTGGAGGTTGGATCAGGTACACTCCTGGCATTGTTAACAACTCCGTCACTATAGTGTACTACATATCCAGTCACTGTGGCTCCTCCTGATGGCTGACTCCACTCCACTATCACTGATGTAGCTGATGTCTGTACCACTAACAGTAGATTCGGACTCCCAGCAACTGAGAGATCACACTGTGTCACCCATTATTATCACTAACATAACAGACATACCTTTCAATGAAACAACATCTGAAGCATTAGACACTCCATTAGATGCAAAACACACATACATATCTCCATGAGCTCCTTTTTTCCAGTTCGCTTCAGCTGAAAAACTGTCATTACCCACTCCCTTAATGTCACTGACGTTGACAATGTTAGTCATGTTCTCCACAACACCAGATGGTCCAGTGATAGACATTGTCAGCCAGTTGAATTACAAATCACTCTGAACATCTTATTACCTTTTTCCAACATTTGAATACTCCCACTAATGGAAGAGACTAAAAAACCAGAGAATAATGTAAGCCCATAAGTGCTGGAACAGATAGTTATGCAGAAAGCATTTTTTGGCGAGTGAGGGGTCAACTGGTGTACAAGAAGATGTTTCACATATGCATTGGATAAAAAGGTGCCATTGCAACTACTATTCAGACAAGTAGGTGGCACACTAGTACGACTATATACAAATAGTGAATTGGGCCTGTCTATGAAAGTAACTGTGTTGTTTTGCGTTGTGTTTTGTTGTTCTATTGTGTTTTTTTTTGTTTTTTTGGGGTTTCTTGTTGTTGATCTAGTAGTTTAGCTACATGTATATACGTTTTTTTTCCTTCTTTTTCTTTTCTTTGTAAAGACGAAGCCATAAAAAATTATACGTAAAAAACAAAACAAAACCAAAAAAAACCCAAAAATTTATTTGAGTACAGTTGAACCTTAGTTACCAAACTAACTTTGCTATTATCAAGGTTTGCAGGGATGCAACTTTCTACAGTACATTGGTCTCAATTTAAAGGTTCTCTACCCCCTGTGAAAATGCACATAAACACCATAAACAACTGGTGGTTATTATAGCAAATGCCACCATTCACACATCTTTGTCTGATCGCTCGCTAGAGGGGTAATTACGGTACAGTCTGTCTGTCTGTCCACCGTGCTTAATCTGAAACCTTACTTTATGACATAGAACAACGAAAATTTGCAAGGAAATTGAAACAAAAAGGCATCTAAAATCTAAAATCTCTAGAGTGAATGTTGCTTTACCATGTCTAGGTCTGCCATTGAGCTTCTTTTGATAAGCACAGAGATCCGCTCTCTCTGTGTACCTTGAATGGGGGCTCAGGAAGTCACAACAAATGGCATGTATCGATTCCCTCATGCTATCTACTACTGTAGCTAGCACGTGTCAAACTGTCCACGAGCTACTAGCGGGAGACCACGAGTAAACGCATACAAATAGCCCAGCCCATCAATTAGCAGTATCGCGCATGCGAAGTTCGCTGAGGGTTTGCACTTTAGTGCTTTTCATTCAGTTCTGTACCAGAGCATAGAAAATCCATTAAAGAGTTCCTCCTGCACACATGCGTTTGTCAGTAATGGCTACCTAGTCGTCTGAATTGCATGATTAAACCATCGTAGGATGTTGTCCTCAATACAGAAACTTCACACTTGAGTTCCCTCACTTAAAATTCAATGCGTTTTCATTACAATCGTTACAATACAAACCCCATGAGCAAGGCACACAGTGTCCAGAATTTCACGGGAGTTTTGCCAGTCTTGGCAACATAGCATTTGCATGCTCAATGGTGAGATGGAATTAGGCGTGCAAGGCACTGCCACTCTCATACACGATATTGTTCTGTTATTCAAACTCACTGGGGTAATGGATCCCAATGGAGATATAATTGTCATCATTATTATTACGATCAGGATCACAAAAGAAAAATCCTTCAACTGGAACAGAGGTCACGTCTTTCAATAGTTTAAGTTGTTGATATTGAGATGATGATGATGTTAGCTCACTATACCACCCAAAATTCCTACTGTCAGTTTTTGGGGGAATGCTATACATTCTATGAAATCGACGTTCATCAAACTGATGATACCAATTCATGGTACTCGAAGTTGTATCACAACGATACCAACAGATGACCTGGTTAATATCAGTGATGATAATATGTTCAGCTTGAATAATAGCATCTTTTTATCAGATGATGTCAGAAACAGTTTTGCATAATTATCAAAAATCCTTGCATTATAAGACTGCAAACAAATATTTATAATGCAGCTGTGCGTGTGATAATGTGCTGACACATGATCAAGGGTTCTGAAAACAAAACCTGATTGTCCGCAAATATGTGCAGTCATTGATAATGTGTGTAGCTATATATGCACCCTTACAAGACTGAGCATAATAGGGCTAAGCATTCTGTACAGCATACAATATTGCCAGCTGAACAGCTCCACGGCGTAAAAACGAGACGGCCTAAAGCTCCTGGACAAGTGTAGGTCTTCTTCGCTTTCTGAGCGCAGTTTCTGGGCAAGTTCCAGGGGCGGATCCAGGGGGGGGGGCTGGGGGGGGGCATGGGGGGCAGTTGCCCCCCCCCCTCGTCTGGTGTATATGACGTCATGCTGCCCTGGCCCCGCCCCACTTACTACAAATATTATATGCACTCACACGCGCGCTCGAACTTGAGCGCTCTCGATCTCTTGTGCTGCCGCGCCAACTGCAAACAACGTTTTTCCTGGATCTTTTGCTACATGACGGCGCTTACGTAGCCCAGCGCCTGCTCGCGCAAGGCTGTTCTCTCATCGCTAGCTCTCGCGATCGTGGCTGTCACTTAGCTATGAAACGCTCTATTGCATAGCTTCCAAGTTAACTCCAACGTCATCCGTATCCAGCGGAAATTTTCCCCGTATTTTGCGTGGCTTTACCCGTACTTACCCGCACCTTCCCGTTTGTCGTAATACTTGCCGCGCCTTCTTCAGCACTCTTGCCTTCCGTATTTTTTCGATTTTCCCCGTATATGGAGTGCGATTTCCGTAAAAATACGGGAAAATCCGTATACTTGGAGGCATGCAATCTCAACGAATGTGGTTCCGGTAAAAAGAGAAGTACCTACCAACCATCCAGCTTTTTGCTTGATAATCAAGCAAAAATACTGCCTATCCCACCAGAAAATCGCCAAATCCCTCTTGTTTGTGTTAACCTGTGATGCATCATGCCCATACATTTTGAATGGACACAGCATTTTCAAGCAAAAATATTCCAAATGAAGCAAATTTCACACATTTCTCAAGCAAAGGTTCATCTGCAGGTTGGTAGGCATGGAAGTACATTTCTTCCGGTATGTAGACCTACCTATCAACAGGAAAAACTGGAATGTGCGCGACAGGATCTTTGCGCATGCGCAGCCGTTGCCACCTCCCAAAAACAAAATCCTGGATCCGCCCCCCTGCATGTTGTGTTCTAATCTGCTTCCGGGGAAATAGGCCAGACTAGTGCGTGGTGTAGTGATCAGTGGTGTAGTGATCAGAGTCGTTGCCTGCCTCGCTATGGGGAAACCCTTGAAGCTGCTGGTAATTTGTGTCATTGTACTTAGTGCGCTTTTTGTGTACGCGACAAGGAGTCGCTTCACGTGGGAAGTGACAGGGATTGATAATAACCAGGACCAGAGAATGGTGGATGAACACGATGTTCAGGAAGGAAAGGATGATCTCCTTTCCAACAGTACATGGAACCCCTGTACATTTGACATCTGTTTCAACCTAGAGAAATGTCCATTCACCCACCCATTCGCCACCTATGTGTACGATGATCTGCTTACGTCTTCCTCGAAGGAAAATCCATTTTCTCCTCAACTTTTAGTAGATGTCTTGAAGGAGACAGGTTCATACACCTCTGACCCTACTAAAGCATGTGTGTTTTTCAGTATTCTTTGGAACAGAGAAAGTGAAAGAGAAAACGTTGGCCACCTGGAGACACAAATTCACTCCCTGGCACAGTGGGGGGAATATGGTGAAAACCACATTCTGGTTGAGCTGTCCACTGACCAGAGCCCTGGCCGCAGCATGCTGGAAGGTGTTTCAACAGGGAAGGCTATCATTGCACGGAGTGTCATCTCACCAGCCAAGCTGTTCCGTACAGGCTTTGACATCCTTCTCCCTCCACTCAGGACGGCAGAGGCAGACTCGATGGATTTGCTATCCCCTCTCCTTCCTGTCTCCCGAGAAACTTTTATCCACTTCCACGGAGAACACTCTCCACATCAACACCGAGGCCCTGGTGCTATCACTCCAGAACACATCAGAAGTCTCCAGCAACTCTTAAAAGGTAAAGAGAGAGTGGACATTCAGCTCCAGTGCCAACAGCCAGCCACCGGGAAGACAAAGAGGGCAGTGGAGGGGCAGTGGATGTTGTGTGGAGACCAGAAATCTCGACTTGAGCTCTGTTCCAAGTCTATGTTCTCCCTCGTCCCAAGTCCAGGTGGCCCTAACGCTGGAACAGGAGTCGGTATCTATACTAGACTGATAGAGTCTCTGATGTGTGGCTCTATACCAGTTGTCGTTGGAGTAGGGGTTCTCCCATTTGACGAAGTAATTGACTGGAGTCGGGCAGGACTCATTGTTCCTTCTGGCCGGTACTCTGATATCCTCTACATCCTGCGTAGTGTTAGTTCAGGTGACATTCAGAACTTCAGACTCAAGGGCCGACATTTGTGGTACACCTACTTCAGCTCTCCACTGAGGGTTGTCCAGATTGCTGTAGCCATAGTGAGGTCACGGACTCTCCACCCACCTCCCCCTGCTCCTCACTTTGTTGGGAAGCAGCTCCTTTACTTCCCTGCCCCCCACCACAAGCAGATTACCTCTCCTTCCTTCACCAATGATTTCACTGCCTACTCGTGGAGTTTCTGGAATGATATCCCAGGTCCCCTGTTTTCCTACCCTTCATCCCCCTTCAATCCTGGATTGCATTTCAGTAGATTGAACGAGGTCGCAGTTGCTCACAGTGCGTCGCAGTCAGCGAAAGGACGAGCTGCCATAGAGTCAACTTTCAAGAAAAATTTTCTTGTGAATGTACCTCCTGAGCAGTTTACTGTGGTGATAATAACTTACAAAAGGAACGAAGAACTGATGGAGGGGCTTGCACACCTTAAAGGGATTCCTTCCCTAAACAAAGTGGTAATTGTCTGGAACAATGAGGATGACCCATCTGCTGACCTGAAGTGGCCCGATATTGGAATACCTATTGTGGTGAGTAAGTAGCTGTCCAGATTTGCATCACTAATCACCCGTTAGAACCTCTCATGAATAATTCCCTTTGATGTTGAGCGTAGCAATCAAGTGTCTAAAACCCATAGTACTAGGTCTGCCAGGTATCTAAGTACTAAGTCTCTAAGTACTAAGTCTCTAAGTTGCAAGTTAGATCACTGTGAAGAATTTAGATCACTGAGGTTTCACAAAGGTCAAATCCATAATAATCAAGGAGTGGGAAAGCCCATTTGCTCCTAGCTTCGAGGCTGCCGCCATCATACAAGCATCACAGCGCTCAGCCTGCGTCGCTTGGACGATTTGTTGTTGGTCGCTAGTCAGGCGTTTCCCGGGCGGTTGAGCCACGTAGCTGTTTCAACGTCTGACTAGCGACAAACAACAAATCGCGTCCAGATCAAGTGACGCGGGCTGAGCGCTCCAGTGGCAGTGTCTTGCTCCGGCGGGGCTCGCAGGATATATCCGTCCAGTTGCTGCGATGCTAGTACGATGAACGCGTCCTGCAGTCTCGAAGCTATGAGCAAATGGGCCAACGAGCCTAAATTCTGGCAGGCAGAGCAAACTGGGTAACGGGTCTTGCACACTATCGAAAAGACTAAGCGAAACTGCGTTCTCCGTGCCGCGGTTCTAAGCCAGTTAGACCACTGAACACGTCTCCTCGGTTTGAAAACCCTCGCGGGTCGGGATGAGAATGACGCAATAGTGACTCGTTCCAGTGATCTAACCTATACCTATACACCCAAGACCCTAAGAGGATGAACTCTTAGTGGGGAATTGTTGGAAGCACTGCTCTTTCCATTGTCATTGTGGTTAGGCTTAGCATTTGCGTAACCACAATGTATATGCAGTGGGTCCCCTGTTTTATATCATGCCCACAGTGCTACAATGGGGGTAGGGCCCAATGTATATACAGTATAGACTGACCCCAATTAAGAGGTCGGTCTATTTTTACTAAGAGGTCGGTCTACTTTACTAGTAGCGGTCGCTCAACTTCACGAAGAGGTCGGTCTATTTCACTTGAAGGTCGATCCGCTTTAGTAGGAGGTCGGTCCACATTTTACTAGGAGGGCCGCCAATATGGAGTAAGAACAGGAGCAGCAGTGGTGGTTGGCGCGGGCACCGGGCCACCACACTTGCCATCAGTCCTCGACCTCTACGCTCATCTTTTCTCGCAGGAGGCCCACCCGTCACTCTAGTAAGGTAGACCGACCTCCTAGTGAAGTACACCGACCTCTAATAGTAAAGCAGACCGACCTCCGAGTAAAGTAGACCGACATCATCGACCGCACGTGCGTACCACTGATTACACGCCATACAAGAAGTCACAACGAATGGCATGTATCGACACCCGCATGCTATCTACTACTGTAGCTAGCCTTTCCATTGACCCTGTAGCTGGCTGGGTAACCAGGGGTAGAGGGGTTGGTCGGCTTTTCAGTATCTTTTGCCTACGATTGACCTACCTGAAAACTATGTACTTGTTTGGCTTTGGTTCAGCGAGAGCTTTGTTTTTTGCCATACAGTCTCTACGGAAGACAAGCTGCTGACTCACCAAAAATTGCAGTGGTGATACGTAACTTCCAACATCTTAGGCTGGTGTAAGGGGCAGCATGGTCCTGCTACGAAGGGAGTTCACGGATGGTTAGTTGCTAGCAATAGCATCGGCTTTCAGACAGTTTGAACTCTGCTGAAAAGTTTTATTAGTGAGTATATAAAGGTGTTTGGAATTTGATATTAACACACACCCTCCTCTCCACAGGTGGTCCGTGGTAAAGGTAACAGTTTGAACAATAAGTTTCTGCCCTACAAGGCGATAGAGACCGAAGCTGTGTTGCAACTTGACGATGATGTCCTTATGGCTCCTGAGGAGATAGAATTTGGTTTCAGGCAAGTCTATATGCTTGGTGTAATGACTGGTGTATTTAGAGTTTGCATGGCACTTGCTGTATATACAACGGATTACCTGTGTAAACGGTACGGTCAGGATCACGATCCAATCCTAGTCCAGGAGGTGGATTAGAAATGGATTTAGCTCATAGCTGAACAATGCGTGTGCATTACTACATCGCTACTGTAGATCCTGTAGCCCTTCCAATGAACGACGCCATTTGCTGCTAACGGCAGTTCAGGGGGCGTTTCCTGACGATGTGCATGCGCAGCATGTGCGTTGCGTAGTGCAACCTCGATCTCGGCGGTAGCTACGTAGCTATGCCTCCGTTCGCGCAGAGCCAGCTAGTATACCTTAGAGGGGATGGTTCCGCGAGACTACATCTTTGTCCATACGCAAATAATTATTTTCTGGTGATACCCATGTACCTGATTAATTGCTCCAACAATTAAACCTCTAGCTCATGTAGGGCCTTGCTAGTGTTACAGAGTTAAAAATAAGGTTTATAATTTGTTTGGACATCATGTCCAACCAAAGCAAATATTGTTTGGACACTGCTGATATTTGCTTGGACATGTTTTATTAACCCTCGGCGTGCATGCGCAGCGAGGGTTATATACAGTAGTCGTTCTGTCTGTCTGTGGGTGTCGATGCTTATTCTGGCACTACAGGCTACGAGGCGGCCCGTTAGCGGATTCAGAACTACGGGAGCCTGATAATTTTATTGGGCGATTTTCCTGAAACGACTTCGTTCGAGAGATATGCCGTGAAAACAAGTGAAAAAGCCAATATGCATAATCGCACTGGGCTTACCGCGACCTGATCCGCTCGCTCCGTGTACCTTGGGGGCTCAGGAAGTCACAACCAATGGCATGTCATGCTATCTACTACTGTAGCTAGCCCGTGTCTGACTCTCCGCGGGCTACTAGCGGAAGACCACGAGTAAACGCAAATAGCGGCCCAGGTGAATAGAAGTGGCAGAGACACGAGCAGCGAGAGCCTGGGAGCGGGCAAACGATCGATGTCACCCGATTCTCTGTACACGTCACGTGGCTTTTTTAAGTGTGCATGCGCAGTACCGCGAGAGAGCTAGAGCTAGCTGCACGGACGCAATGACCTTTGAAAATATATACGCACTACTGTGGTATAAGCCTATATACCATGCATGCGCAATTTAACCCTATGGACAACAGGCATGAAAAACCCTGTACACGGTGCATACGATCGTAACACTCACGTCACAACTTTCACTCTGGAAAACTTCCGAGTTCCACTATGGGAACCTTTCAGTGTTACGGCTCACACGCTGTGGATGGATGATAGTACGCTACTACAAGCATTGGGCCAATATAAGTTTGCACTTTCTCATACATGTCACATGAGCAAGAAAGTGCATAAAAGAGATTGGTGAACACATCTTAAATTTGGCACCCTCTCTCCCTTTGCCTCCCCTATCTATACACATGACACCTTGATGAGTATTTGTTATGTGTGTGTACATTCTTAGCAATACAGCGTGAGCTTGCCGACACTCAGTATGTAATAACTGTGCTTTGCACTTCTGTGTCTAATCCACAGAGTTTGGTGTGAAAATCGGGAACGAATGGTGGGGTTTTTTGGTCGCTCTCACATGTATAATTTCAAGGACAAGAGGTGGAACTATGCAAAAACTAACTGCAAGTTCTCCATCAGCCTTACTGGTTGTACCTTCATGCACAAGGTATATTATTATGAGCTGTTTACTTCCCTCCCTAGGGACATCCACAACCACATATTATAGGTACTATCAGAGCGTCGGTAGACACTCTATGTAGGGATGACACGAGTGAAATCTCACGTGATCC